TGTGGCGACTAAGTTTTTCACCATATATTTTTTGTGGCGTGCCACAACTCAGTAAGAAAAGTGTGGTTGATAAATTTGGATGATGTGGGTGTGATGAACAGTAGTGTGATGACCTCTGTAATTCTTTATTAACAATGTATCATTTGTGGGGTTTTTTTTAGAAAAGGAGGAGGACCCCCGGCCTCTGCATCTGGGCGATGCATACGGCCACTTTATTAATTATTCTCACAAGACCTTACAAAGTAATATCACAGTAAGCCTAAAGCCGCCGTCTAAGCAATAAACTGTCGCTACACATATCCAGTTGATGAAGGGGCGCAGATAGCCTGGGCATAATACCAAACAGACATTGCAGCCAAATCTAACATCTAAGACCTAAGGACCCATCCAGGATGCCTGCCGGGCATGTGTCTCCCCGGTCCGGCGTGCTCTCAGAGGCCGCCGCCGCCAACTGCCACCGCTCCATCTTCAGAACTGTACCGATGCATCAACCTTGCTCGGTCTAGCTACCGTCGACGCCACCACGGCGCCCAACGGCACCTCCCTCCCTGCGCGCAAACAGCTGAGCACGTCGCGGTCGTCACTGATACACCTCAGCACCATGCTGCCAAGTACCACCAGCCGACACAACTTGAAGTCTTTGAAGAATCTGTCGTGCGTAGCACCTGCCGACCAGGCATGACAAAGCGTAGCAACCACACAACCCGGCGGCCCGTAGGGCGTTGGACACCAGCCAACCACATAACCCAGCGGCCGGCGACTGGACCAACAGCACCAAAAGGCACTGTTACACGGATGCAACCTCACGTGGTAGCTAGTCAAACCTAGCACATGTGCTTGTGATCCTGCAACAGGCCTTTGTTAATTGTGATGCAGTTATCACGCTCTTGTGCTCAATCGTATTGAGGCGAACGTACATGTTCGAGAAACCTGTGTGAATTGTGTTGCTTGTTCGATCCTCTTGTGTTGTCGCTGTCGTGCAGCCAGTCGCCGAACGTGCATGACCGGCCAGTCACTGTTTGTCATCGGCATGTTTTAAGAATCGATATGTATCTAGGAGAAGGTTGAAACGCTTGGAGGGGGTCTACTACGAAGACGCGGTGACTTGAGCGCCTAAGCGGGCGTCCAATTGCAACAAACAACAGCCATAAGCAGCAGACACACTTGTGCCAACGTTTGACAATGTGTGCCTATGAACCAAACACGCAACATGTCACCGGTTCCTCAAGATGATGGAGTAGCAACAGCTCAGGAGAATATCTGGTGGTCCCAAAGCTTAGGTGCTAGTGCTACCCTGCTTCGATGTCACATTTGAATCATCAAAAACTTCTAAAGAAAATCATGGATGTTCACAAAATAGGTGTTTACAAACCCTAAAAATTGAAACTTCAAACTCGAAATACACGGAGATACAAAAATAGGACGGAGGCAGCGCCCTACTTCATCTCGCGTCGCCTCGCTGGCCAATGGTGGTGGTCATCTTCTTCGTCGGAGATGGCCGGCCAGAGGCTTGGTGATCGAATCTCAGGATCCATCATCTAGTCCCGGCTGCGAGTTGGGGAAACATGGTTGCCGGTGAAAACCGAGCCGTTGGCAGGCGATGGCGGCGTTCTACGCCGTTACCTTGATGGAGGCATCGTCGTGTAACTACTGTCGACCCACTCGTGCTGCTATGGGGGAAACCCTAGGATCTGGTGTTCTAGATCGGACGATGACGGCACTGCGGTGTCGTTTCTCTCTTGGGAGCATCGTTTGTGGAGCAGCGTTGGAAGTCAGAGGCAGGAGGTGGAGCGGCTTCGTCTTGCACGGAGCTTCGGTGGAGATGTCAAGTTATGCCTGGCCGACAGGTGCTACCACGAAGAGGACTGCTCCAGTCGCCAGCCGTGTCGTGCAGTCACACCTCGCCTCTCGCGCCACCAACCCACCATGCAGCCCGTGGCCGCCGTGTTGTGTTATCGATGCCGCGCTGCCCACTGATGTATGTCATCGGCATGGTTTACGGATCGATCTGAACCGCTTGGAGGGGTCCATTGCGAAGCCGCGTTAACTTGAGTGCCTAGGCGGGCGTCTAATTGCAAAATATTCATGCTTTTCATGTTGTGCGCTAGATTTAGATCTGAGCGCTGAGGATGGACGGATGCATGGATACATGAAGTACGCTGGATGCATATGATATGTTGCCGGCATTATTTGGCTGTGTGCATATTAGTTATGCAGAGGTCGGGTGTAATGCTTAAATCTTTTAAGTAATAAAGCGTCTCTTTTCGAGAAAAAAAAACACTGAACGCATATTGCGGGAACCTGAAATAAATTTAGAAAATGTAAGCATCAGTGTCAAATTTAGGATTTAAACCTTGGTGGCTGGGGATATCATTGTCATCCTGACCATCTAACTACAGGTTGGTTTGCGATTGCTCAAATCATTTGAATTCATCAAACTTGTGCTTTTATAAATAGTATAAGACATATTGACGGATCACACGAAATTACCCGTTGTAAGTACACCGCCATATTTTTACATCGGAAGCTACATGCTTCTTAAGTGTTTTTTTAAGTTCCTCAAGTTTAGCCGTGTTTTAATCACTATCAAGTGAATTTTATTTTTCGTTCAGTGCTTTGCCGAACACAAACTGATTTGCTTTTTCAAAATATTCAGTGGTGGCAAAAAAAATCCAATACGGGAATTATAAACCAAGCAAACATCTTCGACTAGAAAGACACACAAACATCTTATTTAAGGCTTGCCAAGCAACAAATCTGAATCATTATAAGGGCTTTGATGTATAAGACGCCAATTAGGAGCTTAGCAATGGCACGCCATTACCTTAAAAAAAAGCAATGACACGTCACAAGACAGGCTTTGATGTATATTTGGAAATTATTAAAAAAATCAAAAAATACATATAAACTATCAGGAAAATTCTAAGAAAATATCGTAAATCAAGTTAAATATGGAGAGGGTCACAAAAATAGAAGGAATAAATGCAAGGCCCAGAGAACTATAATTTGAATAAACTCGAGGCGTGAAGCAACATGGCCAGGAGGCTAGTAATCTTGGAACTTTTTTTTAACAATGTTATCTTGGAGTTTTCTTTAACACTGTACAAACGTAAACGCTCATCGCCACATGAACACACACTCTAGCCATATGAGCATCTTTGATTGTCTGAGATGACACATTATCTTGATAGTGACAAAGTCGTCACAAACACATTCTTTGTCGATGGAAACGTCTCCTCACACTAAACGCATATCACAGAAAGGCCTGAAATAAATTAAAAAAACATATTTTTTCTTCAAAAAAGAGGATGAACCCCGGCCTCTGCATCTGGGAGATGCATACGGCCATTTTATTGATTATTCTCGAGGACCTTACAAAGTATAACAATAATATGCCTGAATCCGCCAACTTAGCAGCATCTGCCTCTACTGCTATCCAAATGATGAAGGGATGCAAGCTGGGCCACATACCCATACCTCTCACCTAAGCCTAACATCTAAATCCGAAGGCCCCGACGAGCCATCTGTCGAGCAGCAGTGTCAAATTTAGGACTCAAAACTGGCTTGAGATACCACCGTTCTCCTAACTATCCAACCACATATTGGTTCACACTTGCTTGAATCATTTGCATTCATCAAACTCGTGCTTTTATAAGCAGTAGTGGATATATTTGATTGATTACACCAAATTACCCTTTGTAAGTACACCTCCATATTTTTACATCGGAAGCTACCAGCTTCTTAAGTGATTCTTTTAAAAGTTCCTCAAGTTTAACCGTGAACTTTATTTTTCGTTCAGTGCTTTGCTGAACACAAACGGATTTGCTTTTTCAAAATATTCAGTGCTGGCAAAAAAAATTCAATACGGGGATTAGAAACCATGCAAACATCATCAACTAGAAACACATACAAACATCTTATTTAAAGCTTGCCAGCCGTGGGTGGACTACTTCCTCCTCGTCATGGATAGCGCCGGGATGATGAAGATGGCCACCGGTGATGGATTCCCCCTCCGACAGGGTGCCGGAACGGACTCCCGAGAGGTTTTTGGTGACTATAGAGGCTTGCGGTGGCAGAACTACCGATCTATCTTGATATATGATAGTTTTAGGGTACGTAGGGTTATATAGGCGAAGGAAGTCGGTCGGGGGGTGCTCGAGGGGTCCACGAGATAGGGGGTCGCGCCCTGTAGGGGGGGGGGCACCCCCTATCTCCTGGGCTCCTCGAGGATCTTTCGACTTGATCTCCAAGCCTCCAGGATGATAATCTTTCAAAAAAAAAAAACACGTTGCCGAAGGTTTCATTCCGTTTGGACTCCGTTTGATATTCTTTTTCTTCGAAATACTAAAACATGCAATAAAACAGCAATATGGGCTGGGCTTCCGGTTAATAGATTAGTCCCAAAAGTAATATAAAAGTGTATAATAAAGTCCATAATCATTCAAAACAGGTAATATAATAGCATGAAACAATAAAAAATTATAGATACGTTGGAGACGTATCAAGCATCCCCAAGCTTAATTCCTGCTCGTCCTCGAGTAGGTAAATGATAAAAACAGAATTTTTGATGTGAAATGCTACCTAGCATGATTCTCAAAGTAATTTTCTTTATTGCGGCATGAATGTTCAGATCCAAATGATTCAAAATAAAAGTTTATATTGATAAAAAAAATAGTAACACTTCAAGCATACTAATCAAAGTAATCATGTCTTCTCAAAATAACATGGCAAAAGAAAGTTCATCCGTACAAAATCATATAGTTAGGAAGATTATCCCTACAAAATCATGGCAAACAGAATTTTTGTTCATCCCTACAAAAATAACTTGGCAACAAATATGGAAGCATTATGAAGACATTGTTCCATCTCAAGAGTTTCCACAACCACACACACGCAAAGCCCAGAAACTGCACGCTGGTGCAATTCCAGCCACACACACACACGAGCTCATTTGCCTTATTCGCGACACCAACAAGAAAACGCCACACAGATCAGAGATCTCATCCCACGATGCGAAATCCCGCCTTGCAAATCACGGCTTCTTGGGAACCATTTGTGCGGCGAGCTTCTTGACGGCGGGCCTCGCCATGATCCTCTCCCACCAGGCCTTGACGTGCGGGTACGAGTCGAAGAGGGCCGCGTGCGGCGTGGCCATGAAGTAGAAGGTGTAGGGGAAGTGGTTGAGGTCCGCGAAGCTGAAGAAGTCCCCAGCGAGGTACTCGTGCTTGGACAGCCGCGCCTCGTAGACATCCAGCACCTTCTTGAGCTTCTCCAGGCTCTCGTCCACCACCGTCTGGTTGGTCGGCAGGCCGCGCATGAGCGGGTTGATGAGGCACTCGTACACGATCGGCGAGATGGCCGGGTTGTAGGTGTGCGCGTCCACCTCCGTCCATACGTCCACCATTGCCGCTTCCTTCAGGTTGCCTTCCCTCAGCAGGTCCACTTCGTTCTTCTTGTACTTGCGGAGCACGTACTTTGCAATTGCGCGTGACTCTGAAAACACAAGAAAACTAAATGTTTTTGAGAATCTGATAAGATATTTGGACACCGAGCGTCCATCGGAAACAAATTTGAAGGCTATCATTCACTTCAATACTCTACTTTCCTTAAAAAGAAGCATTCATTTTCGGACGGAGGGAGTATTTTAACAAGGACAAAGTAACTGAAAAGAGCCAAGGCCATACCGAAGAGAAGCAGATCCCCATCCTGGAAGGCAGGGATTTGGCCGAAGGGCTGCAAGAAAACAAAACATCTTGCATCAGACCCAAAACAAGTTGATTCGAGAAACCAGAGGATTTGAGAGGTCGGGTAGCTTACGTTTCTGACGAGATGCTCGGGGCTCTTGTGCTCCATGGCCTTGAAATCGATGTCGACCACCTCGTACTCGGCGCCGACCTCCTCCAGGCACACCAGCACCCGGGCCACGTTCGTCGACATCGCCGGCCCGAACACCTTCACCGGCGCCATTTGCTCCCTTGGTTGCTACACGCGAGAGAGTGAGAGATCGGGTGTGTGTTTGTGCGCTATCTGTGTTTGAGCGGTCTGCAGCATGACGCCAACTCCTCCCCATTTTATACGGCATCTAAGTTTCCGGTAGGTGGTTGGTGCCTTGGTGGGATGGTTGGACGTGAGCTCTCCAAAGGGTGAAAGAGCAGGGGACCGTGAGGTGTGGGGTGACGGGTGCAGTCAATTATGTTAGCGAGGTGGGTGCCATTGCTATCCGTGATGTTTCTAGAACAGCGACCACGATTTATCGGGCGGAGCTACCCGGGCATTCCTTCTTCAGTCCAGATCAGCATTCTTTTCATCTTCCTACGGTTTTAGGCTAACTCCACCACGCGACCCCAAACGAACGTCCGTTTTGTCCGGTTTCGGTCCGTTTGGGTAGGGGTTTGGGGTCGTGTCCGGGCATGCCCTCGGATGCGGTGGCCGTGCGCCCAGCGCGCGGCCGCATCCATTTGCCCCATCCTGTCCGTGAGGGCCAAAAATGCCTAAATTTGCATCAAACTACTTTCAACCCAAATGTTTGTCTGAAAATTAAAATAGTTTTACAACCCAATTGAAATTGTCTTAAATAAAATAATTTTACAATGAAATCGAAATTGTCTTGACTGAACATAAATTGGACCAATACATCTATTGGTTGCCAATGTGATCCCAGACGTGCTCAACCAAGTCATTTTGAAGATTCAAATGAGTGTGCCAATCACGCATCTCACGATGGAATTGGACAAACTATTCAAATGTGACCGGGTCTTGGTGCAGGGGCTCAATATTTTCACCTTGATAATCAAATCCTTGGTCGAAGATACTCTCATCACGCTCATCCTCGACGATCATGTTGTGCATGATCACACAAGCAGTCATCACCTCCCAAAGCTTTCTTTCATCCCATGACAGTGCAGGGTTTCGAACGATACCCCACCGGGATTGAAGCACACCAAAAGCACGTTCCACATCCTTTCTAACACTCTCTTGCATTTGGGTAAATCTTTTTCTCTTCTCACCTTGGGGTTTCGAGATTGTCTTCACAAAAGTTGACCACTGAGGATATATATCATCTGCTAGATAGTATCCTTTGTTGTACTGGTGGCCGTTGATCTCAAAGTTGACAGGTGGGGAGTATCCTTCTGCAAGCCTCGCGAAGACTGGAGAATGTTGCAGCACGTTGATATCATTGTGAGAACCTGCCATACCGAAGAAAGAATGCCATATCCAAAGATCTTGCGATGCCACCGCTTCTAATATGACAGTGCACCCGTTAACATGCCCCTTGTACTGGCCCTGCCAAGCAAATGGACAGTTCTTCCACTCCCAATGCATACAATCAATGCTGCCGGCCGGTTACTGGCCGCTCTGGAGCTCTCGTCGGAATCTGCCTCGGCCGCCGTGGTCCGTCGCCGACAGTCGTGTCCCCTCCGGCACCGGCAAGGACGGCGACGGCCAAAACTACGGCGAAAGCGCGGACGTGGTGGCGGTCATGTCCAGACGTGGTTTGTTATGGATGGCGGGGGGGCTGCGAGGTGAGGAGGCGGCCGGAGAATACGGCGGCGCCGGCGGCGGGGCGGGGCGGGGAGAGAGGGTGAAGCGTTGGGGAGCGGAGGGACTGCTAGTGACCCCGACAGGCGGGCCACAGGGGGGCAAGGGCGTGCGTCGCGGTCGTCCGCGCGCGTCCGTTTCACCCCAAACCGAGTGCAAGTTTGGGCCTGGGATGGGTCGAAAACGGACGGAATCCGGACATTTGTCCGTTTGAGGCCGTGCGCTGGGCCGCCTCTTTTGTCCCTTTTACCCCAAACGGACGGAGCCGGACAGGATAGGGTCGCGCGATGGAGTTGGCCTTACCTGCGATTAAAGTCTTTGTCCGTGCTTTCGTGTTGGTCCTCTGATCTGTCATGTACTCCAACGCTGGCCCTTACAGCGCGTTTGGCAAAATTTAGAAAGGGGAATGGGAGTTTAATATACCGAGTTGTACTGAGATTAAACATGGGATAAATCGTTTTATTCTCAATTCCCTGTTTGGCGTATGATGGAAATTATGTGTGAGAGTATGAGGAGAAACTGTATTCTCATGTTTGGTTCATGGGAATTGATAAGAGAATAGACAAGGGAAATTAACGTAAGTTATGATGAAGAGTTAAGATTCACTTACTAAAACAATTTTCTTCCAACTTCCACCCCCTGCCGTGTTAATAAAATGGTTGGAGTTGGAGTCTCAAATCCCATGCCTATTCCCTTATGAACTCCCAACCCCCCTAATCAAATAAGAGATTTGAAATCTTGTACCCCTTCAATTCTCATTTCCAAGCTCTAATTACCCCCAACCAAACATGCTTCGTCCTGCCCGATCCCGCGAGCGGGGAGGCGAACCCTAGATCGAGCGCTCCAACTCCCCCCCCGCCTCCCTTCCCCTCGCCGCCGTCGGAGCGCGCCGCCTGGCAAATTCCGATCGACATAGGCGGCGGCGGGTTTCTCTCCCTCCTCTACGACCCCCTGCAGCGCGGGATGCGGTGGCCCCCGAGGACGTGGCGCTCGCACAGGGCGCGGCTTGCGCGGGTGGCCATGGCTGTTGTGGTGGCTGCGTGGATCCAGCCTATCCTGGGGTGGCAAGGGCTGCGCGCGACTGGTGCAGTGGTTCGTGGCGGTGGTGGCTACCGGGTCGCGGTAGGGTGCAGCGGGTGGAGGGCTCCGATGACGGGGTCATCCGCGTGCATGCCTGGGCCGGCCCCTGGCTTGGTGTGGTTGGCTGCACCCGGTGGCAGTGGTGGCTAGTGGAGGTAGGTGGCGGTGGCGGTGATGCGTGCCGGCTAGATCCGGTGTTTTCAATAGGCGGTGCGAGTTGGGGCACCGGCCCGGCTTTGGGCAGGGGTGGTCAGGAGGCTCGGCCCTCTTGAGTGGCGCCTTCCATTCGCCGCAACCGGCATCACATCAGCTCAGCGGGTTGCTGTGGCGGCGACTGGATTTCCGTCGTCGGCTTGTTTGTAGGAGATCCGGTTCGACCTTCGATCCATCTTCTTGATGTCTGGCCGCTTTATTCGTCGATGGTTGGCCCTCCCCAACTGCGGCCGCTCACTCGTTTCGCACCCGGCAGCAGGACAACTCTCGTCTCGCGCCCGACAGCGGTGTTGGGGAACATAGTAATTTCAAAAAAAAATCTACGATCACGCAAGATCTATCACTAGGTGATGCATAACAACCAGAGGGGAGAGTGTTGTCTTCATACCCTCGTAGAGCGAAAGCAGAAGCGTTATGACAACGCGATTGATATAGTCGTACATTTTCGCGATCCGACCGATCCTAGCACCAAAGGTACGACACCTCCGCGATCTGCACACGTTCAGCTCGGCGACGTCCCGCGAACTCTAGATCCAGCTGAGGCGAGGGAGAGTTTCGTCAGCACGACGACATGGTGACGGTGATGATGAAGTTACCGGTGCAGGGCTTCGCCTAAGCACTACGATGATATGACCGAGGTGTGTGACTGTGGAGGAGGGCACCGCACATGGCTAAAACTATTGTCAACTTGTGTATTCTAGGGTGCCCCCCTACCCCATATATAAAGGAGCAAGGGGGAGGCTGGCGGCCCTCAAAGGGCGTGCCCCCTATAGGGGAATTGAAAGTGAGTTATATCGACTAGAGGGGGGGGGGTGAATAGGCAATTTTTATGAATTCTTCAATGAGGAATTTGCTGGTGAGGAAATTCCTAAATGAAAAACTACTTGCAGCGGAATAAGTACTCAAAAGTAAACATAGCAGAGCACAGCATAGTCATCATGATGAAATGAAGACAAGCACAGATTACAGAAAGCGTAAACATAGGATAACATAAGATGAAGACAGACAGACTGAAGAAATTGAACTGAGGAAATTGAGAAAGTCTTCAGTCAAAGTCTTCAAACAGATATGAACAAGCACACAACAACAAAGATGAGGAAATGAAAGAGTTGAGAAAATAGAACCAGTAAGCTCGGTGAAGACAATGATTTGGTAGACCAGTTCCAACTGTTGTCTCAGTTGTACATCTAGTTGGAGCATCTGAGTATTTAAACTCGAGGACACCCAGTCCCGGACACACAGTCCTCACCGTATTCTGCTTGAGCTAAAGTCACACAGACCTCGTCCAATCACTCGTGGTAAGTCTTCAGGTGACTTTCGAACCTTCACAAACTCGGCCACTCGGCGATCCACAATTCCTCTTGATGCTCTAGACCTTGACGCCTAACCGTCTGGAAGAAGCACAGTCTTTGAAGGAAACAAGCGTCGGATCCACGCAGGATCAATCTCTTCAGTGATGCTCAATCACTTTGGGGTTTGTAGGTTTGGGGTTTGGGGTTTCCTCACTTGATGATTTTCAATCAAAGTCCTCGGAGGATGGGTTGCTCTCAAATGACAAGTGTCAGTTTCTCTCGGAGCAGCCAACCAACTAGTGGTTGTAGGGGGCGGCTATTTATAGTCGGGGAGCAGCCCGACATGATAAGACATAAATGCCCTTGTCTGATATGACCGCTAGGTGTGTAGATATTTTGGGACAGCTGGCGCATAGCACAGCAACGGTCAGAATATTTGACTCTCAAATACCTCAGGGCTATCATGTTCCTCACTTTGTAGGCAATTCGCACTGGCGAATTCCTAACTCCTAGGTCAGAACAAATTCCTCAGAGACCATAAGAACTTCGTCTCTGTCACTGAAGAATATGACTGAACTGTGTGAGATTTCCAATGGCTTCACTCGAAGGGATTAGTAGGTGTAGGATTTTGAGTTGAGCATCACATGGAAATTTTTCCTTAGTATTTCCTCGACCCCCTTTAACAGTACGGTGTTTCCTATGACTCAAGAAAGAGAAAATGAAACAGTAAAAACAAGAGTCTTTACGCTTCATGTTCCTTGAATGATTACCAAGTCTTCAAGGTCACACCAATTTCTTCACCTTCAAAGTCTTCAGAAAGTCTTCAGAAATCCAAAGTCTTCA